CATCTTCCACCCCCAATCCCTTGCTGGCCAAGCTCTCTCATATTGAAGGGCTGACCTAGCTACCTTGCCAGGCATCCTGCCTGGGGATTGGCCACATTCTCCTAAATATGCAGATCAGCACCTTCTGGCCTCCACCCACTAGCTTCTAGAAACTTCTTCAAGCTTTTAGAATTAGGGGGAGGTACTAGAGGCCTGACCTGTGGAGTCTTCCAGCCTGCACTAAAGTAAACTCACTGACTCACACCCAGGTACAAAAAAAATGCCCTAGTCATTAAAGAGGTAAAACCTTACAGAGGTTAAAAAGAAAAGGCTGATAAAGAAACATGAAAAATGCCAACACATCTTTAATTATATTTTTTGGTTCTGAGCATCATAAAAAAAGAAGATATATACAAAGCCACATTTACTTCCAATGAGCTAATCGGTCATTACATTTTTTCTTGAATACAAAACCCTATAGATATAAAGCGTTAATACATTTTTTATACAGTATGTCCAAAACTTCAACCAAAAATGAATATCTAGCCGTTGTGTAGCACCCTCCTACATAGGAGTAGATAGATTCAGGTTTGATGCACTGTATTCAGTGGAGATGCATTTTTCTTGTTAGGTAAATTTAGCCTGTCTCACTGTACTCAGGGTGGATGCAGTTCTGGGTGAAGCAAATTTAGTTCTAGCTCACTGTAGTCAGTGCAGCCACATGTGATTAGGGTTTACTCTGCCTCACAGGCTGCAAATTTAGTTGCTCTCAATCCAGAGCCACTGAGATAGTTCTGGAATGCAGGTAATGTAAATAGAGATATTATACAGCATGAATATTTATACAGTCCTGGCCAATCTTTGTGGGCCCTGCACAAGTGGCTGCTGGGGAATGGGTATAAATACCCTGAGATCTAGTCTTCTTGTCTTGTCCAGGAGAGGTGTGGTCCAGCCTAGAGGGCCTGCTGCCCTCTAGGCAGTCCTGCCATGTGCTTGCTGTTCGCGAGGCCTCAGCTGGGGGTAGCTGAAAGACCTAGAAGCTGACTGAGGGACTGTCTCTTGTTGGATCTGGTCTGGGATCACTGGTAGGGGTGTCAAAATCAATCCATTCATAAACGCAGACACCAAAGGATATTCAGCTTATGATATACTGTATTGGAAATCTTCTTGCAAACTTTATTGCATGATACTACAATAAAGACACTTTTTCACTTAAAGTGGAATCAATTTAACTGTTTTACAAAACAGTTACATTCATTGCATGCTGTGAATAATATCTGGAACAGTTGCTTGAGCTTTCAATGGAACTGTCATGCCATCAAATGGTTGGTGTCATAAACTGATCACATGTGCAGCACCATGGCAACTGCAGATCAAACAGATACTAAGATTGCAGCCTCCATGACTAAAGGATAGGAGGGTTTAGTTCTGCTTTAAGGCCTAGGAGGCATATTTGTAAAATGAATGTGGTATAGTGATTGATTCACTTTCAGGGAAAGTTTGGTAAATGTATCATTTTATAAACATGCCTCTAGTGACTGGCATTCATTGTATAAATAAATAGTGTGGCGCTCAAAATAAATAAATAAAATAAATATATTTAAATATAAATAAGTGACCAATTCATATAATGCAATCTAAAAAATACTCCAAAAATAGCATAGAATAATTATTCTATGCTATTTTTGGAGTGTTTTTTAGATTGCATTATATGAATTGGTCACTTATTTATATTTAAATATATTTATTTATTTATTTATTTATTTTGAGCGCCACACTATTTATTTATGGAGTTCACACTGCACTAGGTATCAGTAGGTGAGTGTTGGCAGCTTAAGGTTAGTTGTTTGCCATTTATAGCGCAGGAGGATTTCTGATTATTTATGGCATTCATTGTAGTTTTCAGATTATGTTATTTCCATGGCTCATGTTCTGATGTTCACAGTGGCACAGTCATACTAAACAATCAAAAATATCCCTAAAAAGATGCACTGAGTTTTATTAGAAGATGATGAAATATATGAAATTACAATATTTTTTATTAGTCTTTTTGTTATGTTTTTTTTAGTTACACTGGATTGACATGTACATTTTTTTTGTATAATATTTAAAACTGGCCTTAAAATTTTCTTTTTTTTATTAAATCTTTTTTGTGAAAGTAAAGTAGAACGTCTGAAGCAAGAGAAAAAAAATGATGCTGTTGTATCAGATTAATTTAGTAAAAACAAATAGATATGGGTTAAAATAACAACGTGCATTGGAAACCTACGTACATGAGAGCTGCATGTTTTCAACATTGGCTTTAGGAAAACAGCAGTTATAAATAAACTGGGGTTTGGCCTGATCCCATTTCAGACACTAGTAATAGCGATGCTTTACGTTCCCATGTGAACCCAAATTTGGTGAATGTAGGAGAGACAAAGAAACATTCCTGTCCCACTGAAACTAAATGTAGATCTTGGTGACAATTGATAAAGCACAAGAAACACTGAACAGCTTCCATTTAGAGATAATGGAAGGAACAAGGAATTTTTTTTTTCATCTGTAGCTGTTGGTACACAATTTGTACTCATTAGTGTAGCATTTATTACCATTAGATGCCAAGGAAACTGACTTTGCAAAATTGCTCATATAGGTCTTTGATGTTAAGTATTTGTTAGAAATAAATAAGATTTATACTGTATAGGTTAGCTGTAAGACAAATATATATTGAGCAAAAAAGGACACCCAAGCCCTGTCAGTGTTGAATGATTTGTCTCATCTCAGTAACTGCTGCATCTGCAGGACAGCTTGTTCTTTTGAAAAAACAACAGACTTTTTGTCTCAATTGCCAGGTGAAAAAAAAGAAGGAAAGCCTAAAAAAGAAAACAAATGCAGACATTGCATCTAACATTTCTAACATTTGGTAAACTGTAATATAATAAATATTTTCTTTTGGATTCAATGCTGCTTTAACCACTTGCCCTCCTGAGGATATACCTCCCTTCCTGACTAGGCCATTTTTTGCGCTACAGCGCTGAATTAATTAAACTGACAATTGCGTGGTCATGCAATGCTGCACTCAAATTAAATGTACAGTGGGGATCGAAAGTTTGGGCACCCCAGCTAAAAATTTGTATTAATGTGCATAAAGAAGCCAAGGAAAGATGGAAAAATCTCCAAAAGGCATCAAATTACAGATTAGACATTCTTATAATATGTCAACAAAAGTTAGATTTTATTTCCATCATTTACACTTTCAAAATAACAGAAAACAAAAAAATGGCGTCTGCAAAAGTTTGGGCACCCTGCAGAATTTATAGCATGCACTGCTCCCTTTGCAAAGCTGAGACCTGCCAGTGTCATGGATTGTTCTCAGTCATCATCTGGGAAGACCAGGTGATGTCAATCTCAAAGGTTTTAAATGCCCAGACTCATCTGACCTTGCCCCAACAATCAGCACCATGGGTTCTTCTAAGCAGTTGTCTAGAAACCTGAAACTAAAAATAGTTGACGCTCACAAAGCTGGAGAAGGCTATAAGAAGATAGCAAAGCATTTTCAGATGTCAATATCCTCTGTTCGGAATGTAATTAAGAAATGGCAGTCATCAGGAACAGTGGAAGTTAAAGCAAGATCTGGAAGACCAAGAAAAATATCAGACAGAACAGCTCGCAGGATTGTGAGAAAAACAATTCAAAACCCACGTTTGACTGCACGATCCCTCCAGAAAGATCTGGCAGACACTGGAGTTGTGGTACACTATTCCACTATAAAGAGATACTTGTACAAATATTGTCTTCATGGAAGAGTCATCAGAAGAAAACCTCTTCTACGTCCTCACCACAAAAATCATCGTTTGAACTTTGCAAATGAACATATAGACAAGCCTGATGCATTTTGGAAACAAGTTCTGTGGACCGATGAGGTTAAAATTGAACTTTTTGGCCGGAATGAGCAAAGGTACGTTTGGAGAAGAAGGGGCACAGAATTTAATGAGAAGAACCTCTGTCCAACTGTTAAGCATGGGGTTGGATCAATCATGCTTTGGGGTTGTGTTGCAGCCAGTGGCACAGGGAACATCTCACGAGTAGAAGGAAAAATGGATTCAATAAAATTTCAACAAATTTTGGATGGTAACTTGATGCCATCTGTGAAAAAGCTGAAGTTAAAGAGAGGATGGCTTCTACAAATGGATAATGATCCTAAACACACCTCGAAATCCACGGGGGATTACATCAAGAGGTGTAAACTGAAGGTTTTGCCATGGCCTTCAGAATCTCCTGACCTCAACATAATTGAAAATCTATGGATAGACCTTAAAAGAGCAGTGCGTGACAGACAGCCCAGAAATCTCAAAGAACTGGAAGACTTTTGTAAGGAAGAATGGGCCAAGATACTTCAAACAAGAATTGAAAGACTCTTCGCTGGCTACAAAAAGCGTTTACAAGCTGTGATACTTGCCAAAGGGGGCAGTACAAGATATTAACTCTGCAGGGTGCCCAAACTTTTGCAGATGCCATTTTTTTGTTTTCTGTTATTTTGGAAGTGTAAATGATGGAAATAAAATCTAACTTTTGTTGACATATTATAAGAATGTCTAATCTGTAATTTGATGCCTTTTGGAGATTTTTCATTTTCCTTGGCTTCTTTATGCACATTAATACAAATTTTTAGCTGGGGTGCCCAAACTTTCGATCCCCACTGTATGTCCCCTTTTTTCCCCACGAATTTAGCTTTCTTTTGGTGATATTTGATCACCTGTGCGTTTTTTATTTTTTGCGCTATAAAAACAAAAAGACCGACAATTTTGAGAAAAAAAACAATATTTTTGACTTTTTAATATTAAATGTGTCTGGTAAAAAAAGATTAAAAAATCAGATTTCATCATAAATTTACGCCAAAATGTAATCTGCTACATGTATTTGCTAAAACAAATCCCAATACGTGTAAATTAATTGGTTTACATGAAAGTTCTAGTGTTTACAAATGGTGCTATATATTACTGGAATTTTATTTTTTGTTACTAGTAATGGCGGCGATTAGCGACTTATAGCGGGACTGCAGGACTGCGGCAGACATTCTGACACTGGGTAGGCACTGACTTGGTGCCACTGACATCTCCAGTGACACCACTACAGTGATCAGTGCTAAAAAAAAAGCACTGACAATGTACTAATGGCACTGAGCAGGAAGGGGTTAACATGAGGGACAATCAAAGGGTTAACTGTGTGCAGGGAGTGTTTTACTGGGGGGAGGTGTGTTGGTGCTTCGACCAGCGGGTGCACTCAGCAGCCAGAAGCTCATTTCTGCAATTAGCCAAACCTGGGGCTGATTGCAGAAAGGTGTATTTAAGGCATGACCAGGCCTGTGATCTGGGCCTTGGTGTATGTTTTCCCATGAGCCTCTGTACCTGGTATCCTGTGTTCCTGCTTCGTTGCTGACCCTGCTTGATCCTGACCTCTGCTGACCGTCTCCTGTTGAACCCCTGGCTTGCCTGACCATCCTTCTGCCTGATCCCCTGTACCGCGCTGCCCGTGAGTTACTGAACCCAGCTTGTGACCTTGACTATTCTCTGCCTGCTCCTTTGGTATCTTGCTGCCCGCACATTGCTGACCTGGCCCGTCTGACCACGCTTACTACTCTGCCATCCATCCATCCTGCACGGATCCAGCCGTCCCTGCTCACACCTTCTGCCTCTTCACATCAGGCTTTCTACCTGCACATACCTCTGGCGGATCCCTCTACCACTAGCAGGTGTACTCAGGGGCCGCGACCTGGTTCCTGTCTGCTCCAAGTCTATCCCCACCATCAGGGGCCCTGGTGAATAGCAGACTGGGACTTAGACTCCGCGCCCTGGGGAATCCTGTCCTGAGGACCGTTAGAGGTACCACCAAACGGTCATTACAGAACCCTACGGCTGGCCTGACCGTTCCACCTCTCCAGCCCTGACTACGCCTGTGTTCCTGCACCTCCTAAGATTAGTGGAAGGTTGGTTTGCTCACTGTGCGTTTATATATATATCTGGGTGGCTAATAATATACTGTACCTGAGACCTGCGTTTCCATGTGTCAGTCCACACCTTTCTGGTCACTCCTAGATTCCTGACACCAACAGGGAGGAGGACTGTTGGTAAACAAAGTAGCCCTCCTCCCTGTCGGAGATTCTCGGTAAGCACCGGGCACCGGCGGGTAATCACCCGCCAGGAACCGGTGATTGACAGCCACGGCCACGAATGGCGGTGTGGGTAGGGGGCACGCGGCTCTCATGCGCCCCCTACCCGGAAGGACAAAATCACGTATATATATGTGATTTTGCGCACCCCTGCCTCCCTGTAGCAGTATTTCTGCTATAGGGCGGCGGTAAGCGGTTAAGTAGCCTGTAGGATGACATATATTTAACCTTTTGCCTAATTGATTTACTTAGCAGTTTATACATAAGGATATAAGGATAGTGACCTGGAGTATATTGAACCAACACAGAGCTGAGGCTCTTTTTACGGGAATCATATACATAAGTATGGAATAAGATTGATAAATATTCAAGAAGTAAGATGGGAACTAATAATATAAAATATTCTGTATTACTAGACCTGATCTGGCACTCGACTGCAATCTCACACTTTGTTGTGCCAAAGCTGCTTGAAACATTATCTCTATCAGCCCTTACTGCTTTGAGTCTATTCTGTTTTATTTTTATACTATATTTCTGTTTACTACTGAATTATGCAATACTCTGATAAACAAAGGAATTAAAAAAAAAATTGTATGTCACAAGCTGTGAATAAGGCCCTAACTCTGAGCTGATGTAAGACGAGGAAGTAGACCCCTTTCTTCATGTTACAAATGTTTTCCCTGAAGGTGGAGTTGAAGGGATAGCTGCAAGCTACAGTATACCCAGGTCACTCCGCAAGTACTTATTAAAACAAAGGTGGATTTGTGTCCATAGAGCTGAAGAACTGGCTGTGTGAGGCATGTACTAGTAGTGCTCATAGTAATACAGGTAGTGGTACTATACTGGAGGCAGACTGCACAGAGAAGACTGGACTGTAACATAATGATCAGTAACATGGAGATGGACCACAGCAGACTGGACAGTTGGAGACTGGAGAGTAGCAGACTGGACAGTGGAGATGGACCATAACAGACTGGACAGTGGAGACTGGAGAGTAGCAGACTGGACAGTGGAGATGGACCATAACAGACTGGACAGTGGAGACTGGAGTGTAACAGACTGGACAGTGGAGATGGACCATAATAGACTGGACAGTGGAGACTGGAGAGTAGCAGACTGAACAGTGGAGATGAACCATAGCACACCGGACAGTGGACACAGAAGAGTAGCAGAATGAACAATGGAAATGGACCATAGCAGACTGGACAGTGGAGACTGGTGAGTAACAGAATGGACAGTGATGATGGACCATAGCAGATTGGACAGTGGGGACAGCATCTGCCACTCGAGTTTCTGGTCATGTGACAAAGATCACGTGGTGTGGCTGTAGCAGTCTGGGCAATACACAGAAGCATCTGTGACCAAAAGTGACAAATGAAGCACGAGCACTGGAACGTGGAAGGTAAGTGACAATGATACTAACCCCCTCTTACAGGGTCTCCCCACCAATCAAGGGCCCACTTACAAAGGGAAATGGTGATGCAAATTCCATACCAGGTGTAGTGCAAACGCATCTGATTGTGATTGATGTGAAAGATAAAGCATCATTTAGCAGCCAACTTCAGTATTTTCTGTTTTAAATCAATTAAAAACATTCTGCCAGCACAGGAGATAGCCTAATACCACTCAGGTTTTTTTTGCCCCATTCACACAGAATTAATGTACATGCTTTCCAACAGGGTGATATGGGGCATGTGAAGATGCCAGAGTGGTGCATGTTGGGGCTCTACCAATAAAGTGGGGTTCGTTAATTAAGTTGCATGTCTGCTCTTGCACTGCAGCGATTACACAAAAGAAAATCTACAGCAAGCTAATTTGCAAAGCATTGGACTGCAGGTGACCTCGTTTCCCCATTCAGCTCTCCTTCCTCTCTGTAACAAGCGCTCTCTACCTCTCCTTTCACAGTTGTGTCCTCTCTTCCTAAACACTCTTTCCTTCACCCCTCTTCTCCACTCCACAATCTGTATATATCACCCTCACTTCTGTCCTCCCCTTATCACTGCACTCAACATCTCTTCCTATATGGAGGCTAATAAACAATGGCTTAAGGAAATTAACTATATAAATTCTCAATTCACAGTAATTTGAATATTAACCATGACTATGCATTGTATTATATTTTCACACAAAATGTAACAGCACAAATAGTACATACATCCAATGTGCAAACAGATATTATCAGCAAAGAGCCCAAAAAAAGTCCTTGTGGAATTGTGCACATATATCTGGGTATATATAGTTAATAATAATGATACCTTCAGCTGAAAGTTTCAACAAAGTTCAGTTGCAGGGGCCCCGGAGGATGATCACAATGCAGTGTCCATCTCAGTATTGGAGATCTGAATACTAGATGAGTGGTGATGGGAAGATCCTCCAACCATTGTCCAACAAGCCTAAAATATAGTTTCACATCAGGAGAAACTGTGGTGTGGTACTAGAACTCTGTGTCTTAGTCCCTAGTAGTAGTTTCTAATCTGTCATGCAACCAGATCTCCAACTACCAAAATTAGCCATCGCATGGCTAACCTGGCTAATTAGTCTATGCTGGTTATTGAGCCCCGACCTAAAACTAGATATAGAATCCCAGGCCAGAAGGGAGAGAGCTAACTAAAATAGCAAAAGCTGCATGTAAATTCTATTCAAGAAGCTATAGGCAGCTACAATTAAAGTATTAAAATATATGAATACTTGCCTAACAGTCTTTGCTTCTGATCTGGGTGAAATACAGTAGCAACAGCTCTGCGTGTGTGAGGTCGTGTGACTCAGTTCTGCCTTTACCTTTTGGAAACTCCCCTTTATAAAACATCAGAGTCCTCCATTGAGGGTTTCTGACCCGGTTAGCAGAGACAGGGAGTACCTGTCTATACCCAACTAACTGCAAATACAGGAAGTAGAGGGCAGTAGATCCCTACACTAGAACATGACATGCCTAAAGTATATTAAATGTACATATAAACCTTTGGGAATGTTTTTCTTGTAATTAATGACAAAATAAAAGGCAGCAATTAAGATAATTTCTCTGTTTGAGTTTACATACATTATAGCATTTTAAAGACAACAAAATGTTGCTTTTTGGAAAAAATGTAGTTAATTTTACGATGAATTTGTGATTTTTTCTTTTGTGTGTGATCCAATTATGTTGCCTTTACAAAGCATTTTTGGATGTGTACATATTGCTCTCCAATGGTTTTTATATATGGAAATAAAGCAACCAAATGCAGCAGACTAGGACATATTGGTTTTTCAAAATGTGACTCAAAGAGATGCATACCAAACACCATAAGAACTCAATAAGAACTCAATATGATCCTATTAAAAATGTAAACTCTGTGTTTAAATCATCCAAATCATTAAATCATCTGTATGTCAGAAGAAAAAGCACAAAGGAAATGTACACAAGGCTTAAATTAAAATTTTTCTTAAAGGGTAGCTATTAATTTCCAACTAATATTAGATTGTAAAGGAGGACAGAGAAATAACCTTTGCATTAATGGTGATATTTATCCTATTCTCTTGTGCCTGCACAGGCTCTTTCTCTGTCAGTTGTGCCCACCTAAGAAATATTCATGCTGTGCTTGTTGCCATGGGGAAGTGGTTGTCACAGATATATATACAGAAGTCACACATATGAATACAGCTATATGTACAAAATGCCTACATAGTCTGCATGAAATAAATATTTTCCATAGACTTCACTTCGTCCTTAGTTCCTGCATGGCAACAAGAAAAACAATATAAAAACAAGTTCAATGTCTTAAAGAAGTAATACGTCTGCTCCTTTTTTAGCTGAATATTCAGCACAATAAAATAAACATTCTCCAGTAAACTACAGTATTTGTTAAAATTCCTACTCCAGCACTTGCGGGTTATCATTTTCAGTACTTCTGGATCCTACTCTCTCACTGCTGCTTCCCTGAACTTATGGTCTGCACAAGAAAGAATTACCTTTTTTCAGTTGTGACACCCCCTTAACAATATGGAAAATCCAGAGGTATCACAGTCTAAAAGGTAATAAAAAATAAACTGTTACCAGGGGCGGACTGACCATTTGGGAACTCAAGCACTGCTCGAGGGCCTGGGGTCAGTAGGGGGCCCCATGAGATGCCCTTGGTACCTTTCATAGGCTTTTTTGGGTGTGGTTTGAGTGTGGGTGAGGACACAGGGGCCTCATGATCCCCTATTGCCCAGGGGCCCCATGAGTTTTCAGTCCGCCCCTGACTGTTACTTATCCATGGAAAACCTAAGCCTTTAAATGTACACAATCGTCTCAAGAAAATGAACTTCAAGTCATAAGCCCTATCCACAAAAGGATTTCCCTTCACTTCATAGGTCCTCCTATCACATCAGAGCCCAACCTACACATCACAGTTCACCTTTCACATCAGAATCCCTACTCAGATCAGTGTCTCCCCATCACAGAACCCACCAGTCACACAGTCCCTACATCACAGAACCTCCCAATCACATAGCCCCCTTCACATCAGAGCCCTACCTTTTAGCTCCTGCAGTGCAGCAGAAGGCAAGTGGTGGTGTTGGGGGGATATGGGGTTAAGCAGGTGACACACTTCCATCTTCTCCAGAATGTTGGGGGTTTCCCTGCATGCCACATGCCCTAGATCAGAGTTATGCATTGCCATCATGCACGTTAGCTGGCCTCCATCACCATAGAAATTAATGATCAATCCTGGCCCTAGAGTGTCATCAGTGGATATGGCACAAGTGGCCAGCCTACCTGCACCATGGCAGCACATGATGCTGATCTGGGGCAAACTGGGTCCCATGCTCATGGTACCCCAGGGGAACCCTAATGGCACCTCAGGGTTCCGTGGCTCCTTGTTTGAGAAACACTGTTCCAGCTAGTTTGTTAGTTTGGAAAATGGAAGAAGGAGGAGTAGGGCATTGCAAACACCACCGAAGAAAATAAGGATACAGCACCTCAATGGCTGCTCAACTCCTCCTATAATCACATGACTGTTATCAGAGCGTCAAAAAGAACATATGATCGGCGCTGAACAGGTCTAGCCTACACCCTGGTAGCTGATAGACTCTGCAGTCCATAGGCCGTAAGATAAGTCT